CGTGAGGACTGGAAGTATGTTTGGACAAATATCTGATTACCTCCCTCCGTCTGGTTGTTGTTCACATGGTCGGTGTGTTGTGCTTGCGAAATTGGGACCCCATGATCTGAACATCGGCATGAATAATGAGTTGAGCAGCAAGATTTGCATTTGGAAGAGTCAAGTCAGCAGCACCTTGAAATTTGCGATGCGAGGTGTGCTTGAAAGAAAAGAATCGTCCCAACAACACAGAAGACTCTGAGTATTTTATGTATTCCAGGGGATTGACCATGGCACAGGTGTTTGTGGGTTGCGTGACATTTTTGTCTTGAAACTTCTGAGAATGAGATTTCGATGGAGCTGCTCTTTGTTGTCCCCACTTTCTTGTTCAATGATATATTCCGCACTGTTTATGGCTACGACGATGGAAACTTTGTTCGGTGCTCCTTGGGCCTGGGCTGTAGATGTCGACTTTCACTTGTTGGTCGTACCCTCGTTTTTGTTGTGGGCTTCTAAATTAGTTATTTTCCTCATTTGGTACTATCTAACGACTTTCATTGAACCCTTCTTTGTCCTCTTCAGATTTATGAACCAATGTTGTCCTCTATGGCTCTTTTTCTAAAGCTTCTCTACAGGTCTACTCCCACTGATATCTCATTTCTGAACCCAGAAGACATATTTCTCGATATGCATCAGCCTCGAACAACCGAACCCCAGCGTTTCTATCCTGTTGAGCAGTGGCCAGAGGACATGTTTCACTGAGTTCTTGTCGAGACCATAAATCGAGCCTAGAATAGAATAGGTGGTGATGGAAATGAAGTCATGAATGGTGGAGCTCCCTTTGTAGACGATCGTGCTGTTCACTGGTTTCCAATTTGGGTGGCCACCTCCTTTTGAGCGGCGTCCTTAGAATACTGTGAACAATCGGAACCATGAGCATGAAACAGCATCTATAGATATGAATTCCATGGATGCTCCCGCACATAATTGTAGATCTGATTGTTGCATTTCTGCTGGGACTGGTCACGATCAACACAAGGGCCAACGCGATAGACATTTGTTCCTGGCAGCCTTGGAGTTGAGAGCGCAACCAAGTCGCAGACATAAAGGGACGTAACAGGGATTGGCCCCCGCCGCATTTTACTCTCGCCGTGGTGACCAGCAAATCCCAGCTGCAGTCCTCGTTAGCCGCGCAAACTTTTCCTCCCCCCATGAGCAATGGGCTCGGAAGAACTCTGTGATGCCTTCTGGCATATGTCCGATTTGTGACACACGAGACACCTCCAACTGAAAAAGCAAATTCCTTCACCAGAACTTGATGCCCTCCCTCCCTCCCTCACGCAGGTCCAGGTCCAGGTGCTAGCAAATTTGTAGCCATAGTTTTCTTTCGGATGGGGTCCTTGAGCTAAACCTAAGGCCGATTCCTCCTGTGGGTCCTCCTTTGCAATTCTCCGTGGGTCGGATCGAGATGATGAGAGCGTTTTTTGTGTTGTAATGAGCCGCATCTGACGACACAAGGGTATCCTCAGGGCATGCAACAGTTGCCTATGCCGCAAATTGGATTTCCGGGTGCTAGAGGCTCCTCCTGCTACACATGCGGTTTGACTTAGGGAAGTGCTTCTAATGGAGATGGTTGAGTCAAACCTGATCAGTGAGACAATACGCGTTAGAATTGTGTCAAACTCCGCGACTCGAGGTCCGAGAAAATGTTGTTAGACTGAAGGTGGTTGTGCAGTTAGGGAACCCGAGACGTACTTGGAAAAGCACTAGTTCTCGAGGGTTGTGTAAAATTCGCACACCAACCGATTTGACTCAAAAGGATACTGCAATGGAGACGGGGAGTTGGTTTTTTCAACTCGTTCTCCTCCGCATCCCAGTCTCAAAAAGTCCCCCGATCATCATCCAAACTCCCCCTTCTGAGTTTACCTCATTCCAACCGCCCTTGATTAGGGAGGAGCAGATCAGGGCAAAGCATCGTTGTCTCAGTGTACAGATATACTCGCTCGCTGGGTCAAGAAACACGAACCCGGAGGAGGTGTGGTCAGTAAATTGGTTCGTGTCATGATTTACTCGGGTCCAAGGATTCATGAGTTTGTCCTGGTTGTGTCCGCCACCTATGACCTCATGGCAGCGTGGGTTTCGTTCTTCCTCGTACAGAACGTTTGGGGCCCTCAAGCTCTGGACTCTCTCATCCGGAGGACAAAATTCTGAATTCTTGCTTCTGTGGATGGCCGAGACTTCAGATGCAGGATCGCTTTCGACGAGCATGACTTGTTTTTAATCTGGTAATAGGCACAACGAGACAGAGAATGAGAAGAGGAAGCAGAAGAAGGTGGTGTGCGAACTTTGTCTTCGTCGGAGATTCAAGTCAACTTCAACACTCCGGCCGGGGAACCGAAAGGGAAAGTGAAGCGCAATAGCTACTTTCATTGATGGGATCCGTTCGGCGAGGAGCCACTCGGGTTCGATGGACGTGACTGCGAAATTTAAATGGTCCAAGTTCGAAATGACAAGCTTTTCTCGGTCGGATAACATCATCGTACCGACCTCCGACCTCAGGGCGAGCGGGGCTCAATGCATCACAACCTTCTCCCAATGAAACACAATCGGCATTCTGAAAATAGCTCGATCTTGGAAATCATGGCTAGAATATCTACCTGGCGTAGCCAGGTAGATGGATAGGGTGCGATTGTCTCGGTTTGAAGGTTCAGACGATCAGTTTAAATCTCATACCGCTGAATTATTTGCTGAATTATTTGCAGTGAGGCTTAGCGACCACAGCTGGCTGAGATATTGTCGAAGGAACCAGGACATAAATATGGCAGAACTTGAATACGCGAGATTGAGGTGCGGCTGGGTGCTTGTCCTCATATACAGCTTATCCATCGCCATCGGGTGACAAGCGTTCGGCTGCAGGTCGTAGACTAGGGCAGCTCTGAACGAAACTAGGAGAACGAATACAAGCAAGCAAGCAAGCTACAATTAGGCTCTAGTCGTGGAACACAACTTTGACAATGCAGCAGTAAACGATTGAGTTCAATAAACATGGAACGACATCGGCATGGCAAGCAAAGGTGTTCGTCTCGAAAGAGCGCAGCGTCGTACAGGTCTGTTGTAGTTTCTCCGTTCAATTTCACCACGCCAGTCAAATTACAAGACAGCAATTGAACTTGAACTTCCGTAAAGGGCTTAAAGCGCAGAAAAGCCCACCCAGGTTTACCTCCGCGGGACAAACTTTTAAGGTCGGTCTCTTTCTCTCTGTCTTTCTCTCTTTCTCTCTCTGTAATGTAATTTCGGAATGAGATAGCGTGTCACCGATTATGATCTTCTCGTTACCCGAGAGGCTGTCTGTAAATCTGGCTACGATTGTAGCGAGTACGATCGGGAGTATGAAGCCTGGATGAATACCGAGCTCGTGTATACTGTTGCACTTTTCCAACATATCATGTAAAAGTAGTCTTTACATATACAGTGCCTTCCAAGTCAGCGAGCACAAACTTGCCTTCATGATTAGCAGCAACACATGCCAACGAGAATCAACACTGTGTGCGGAGTCAAGTCACCAGGTACGGAGTGAGCGCGAGCTTCCGTCCTCCTCCGTGCAACGGATGAGCACGTGTAGGCCTGTTGACAACATGACGTACGTCGTACATCTGAAGGGGAAAGGAGACGGGACATGAATCCTCCTCGCTCCCTCGCTGCTGCTGCTGCTGCTGCTGCATGCAGAGGGGGGAAGCAGAACACTTGGGCACGTGAACAGTGAAACTGGCCCGACTAAACAATGGAAGCCTGGAAGGTGATAATGACAGAGTGCAAGATGTTGCGATTTGACGGAGTTTCCTTCCTTTCCTTCCTTTCCTTCCTTCATTGCTCCATAGCAAAAGCATCGGACACTGGCATCCTCTCTGCTTTGCTGCAGCTCGAGTTGCCGACTGCAGTCGACACGTCAACTTCCACGCAATTCGCCACGTGGTCATCCGATCACTCTCCTGACCCACGAGCCAAGCATCTGAAGCACCATCTCCAGGCTTAGGCTTGGCTTGGCTTTCGAATCTCGATCACCGAAGGCAACACGCTTCTTCCAAGTTGTGCCAAACGTTACCCTTTGTTGCCAAACCTTGCCCGACTGGCTGCGCTCTGAAACGACAGCCATGTGTCATGAACATATATGATTGATATTTCGCACCGTCAATCGTAGTATGTTTACACGAGAAGCATCCCCATAAATCTTTTAATCTCCCAAAGTATAAAAGCTTGATACTTCTGAAGCAGAAAGTACATTTTGCTCCACTGAATGTGTGATGTCTTTTAGGTTATGGTGGCTAGCACATTGTCCTTATGAACATTTTGATATTTAGAATACACGTGTGTTGGTTTATGTCGATCTCCAGGTTTTGATGTTTTCATGGCAATTTATGTATCACATTTGATAACACAAATGTGCATTATCTTTGAGATCTAAACATGAAATGGGACACATATCACCATTATAATATTTTCTTAGTTTTAATAATAACTTCAAAATAAATTTTGTGTTGATTTAACTCCGAAATGATCTTACTCTTTATTAGCATGTTTTAACATTTAGGTGGTTTAGCAACCAAAAAACTGTAAATTTACTCGAGTTGAATGTATTATCCGTGATCATAATAATCCTATAAGTTGTATCAACATAAAAATTGGAATTAGACTAAAATTTGAATGGATATAATAATCTAAATTTACAATCAATAGTAATATAAATTCGATTGAATGTTCAATGTTTTTAAAGATTGATTGAGGAATATTAAAATAATTGGTTGTTAATCATTCTCAAAGTGTTCGTAGAATTTCCTTTTGTATGGAATTATTTACTGAATGTAATATTATGCTTTAGTTTTGGGCGTCTAAATTTTTCCAGGATATCAAAACTGATCAGATGTGCATATAAATACATACTCATGAAGATTGCGGAATTTCAAATTTTATGAAAGGAGTAAGTAACATATAAACCATATGTAATTTATTAGTCATTTGATCTGATTGTGTTCTTATAATTTTAGGTCTTAAGGTGATGCACATATGTGTGGTCAAATTCAATACATGATTCATCCCTTGGTCTCCTTACAGTTCTTTGATTAGAGACATCTCACGAAAGATTATGGTACACTTCCACCAATTATAGAGCGCTAGCCCAGAATCGCGTGCTTGCAGTTCATGCTCGTGCTCGTGTGAGAAGCTTGTGTTACTTGTTACACTTCTGCGACATCAAATGCACGAGCACGATCAGAGCCCCTGGGCCACTGCTACTCACTCATCTTGCTACGTACACCTTCAAAGGCAGGACTGTGACAGCACAGATCTAGCGAGTCTCGAGTCTCGAGGGAGAAATGGGGACTGGACTCGGACCCGTGAGGATGGTATAGTCCTAATTGATTGTGTGGCCCTTCCTTCGGGTGGGGAGAAATGGACGTGTGTGCATCGTGAGGTTCCATGTCTCGCATCTCGAATCGTACGCTGGTTGACAAATCGAACCTTTGAGATGCACCGGACTTAAGGAGCGTACGGTCTTGAAGGTGCCACAGGCGATGAAGGCAGCTCAGCTCATCTGCATGGACATTAAGGAAAAATTAGCTGCGGAATCAATCGACTCTCTCGAAAGTGTAGGAGTGCCTGCATCCCTGTTGCGTATTGTTCGACGCAACCTTCTGCTGTCAAGCACGCACGCACGCACTCAGATGAAGATCGGAGTTGAACTCCGTCGCGCAGGCAGGCTGTGAGCTTGAGGTGTGGACTTCGACGCATAGATGGAGTGTCAGCTTGATATTGGGCCGCGACCACTTCAACTCAAGACTTTCATGACTTTCGAGCGCGCTTGGGGTCAAACCGGTTCGACTTCGACGTCACAAGAAGACCGTGGTTCTTGCCGCATTATGAGCCTTCTACCATTAGACTCGACACCGTTCATCACCTCAGCCTCACGCCAAGACTCTTTCTTCCCGCATGCAAGAGCACATGCCTTGCGAGTCGGACACCTTGGTTTAGCTTATGATTACATGGACAAATATTCTATCACTTCCTTCCGACATGGAGCCTTTTATTTTCAAAATTTAAGGGCTTTTGTGTATTTGTATTGTAAATAGTGGAGTTAGTTCCCAAAATTGAAATATCTCAATGTCAGAAAGATATTTTCATTACCAATAGTGTCCAAGTATTTTGCACTGAAACTAACATCAGCATCGAGAAAATGATGTACACATGTTTTGTTGTTGATTTGGTTCACATACCTAAAGGGCATCCTTTAACTTGTCCCATGTGCGCCTGTGCTTCTGACGACTTGCAATTTCGCATGTTCGTCTAGCCATTGTGTGGAATGTTGATGGCTCTGTAAATGAAGGCCACGAGTTCGAACGTTGAGGATATAGTAATATACGCACTATTTGAATTTCTTTTGTAAAGAATTCCCCTCCTGAATTTTGGGCTTTACCCCTTCAGTTTCTACCAGGTGTTCTTGAGGAGTTTTCACCATCCATTTTGCAATATTATAAGGTTCCCCTCGTACAACTTCCAGCCTTTTCAAAGTAGAAACCGTTTCATCTCTTTTCCGTCCAAATCAATATAATACCAAGATTTGACCAAACATCACTTTGCATCGAAGACATTGTACCACAGGATAAGTCGTCGTGAGATTTGCGGCCGGTTGTAGAGAACGTGGATTTGACTCAAATACTGATGTACATCGGTGGTAATTGGAGCCATATACTTCCGCCTGTATGGAGTTTGAAATAGATGTACCATACTACTTTGAGTATTTTGCACTATTATTTTATGGAGACTTATGACAACTGAAGACGATACTAACCAAAAAGATATACGCATCCTGTTCATGAAGAGTTTGATGTCCCACCAAAACTATTGCTACACGTTGATGCAAGACCGTGTGTGTCATAGAGCTAATGTATAACCCTCGAAGGAGTACAATATTGAAAAAGAGGTACAAACTCACTTGTTATGATCAGATGATAGTTGAAGTTTTACATTCCAGAACTTGGAGCTTATATCTTAAACTTCACGCTCCTAAACTTGAGAACTGAACATGCCATGTTCTCCAACCTCTCCGTTGATGAATATCGCAATACTGCAGTTAATGTATCACGTCTACTTCGTTCTATACTTTCAATTGGGATAGTTCGCTTTACAAACACTCCCAACTAAAATCTTTTTGTCTATTTTTGTTCTCTTCTATTGCTTCCATGGTTTGTAAATTTAAAGTATATTTTATTGTAAAAACTATATGCATAATCGACTTATCTCTATCACCAGATGGACTGTACTACAATAAATACACAATGTATTTATTATGTATTTCACTTATTATTTTAATAAGTGATTAGCATACATGGGACTGAAAAACTCTTTCAAACGTCCTTCGGGGTTTTTTGATAGAAATAAGCTACTTAACATATACAGGCAGTGAAATGTGATTCATCATAACAAATCATATCATTTCTATCTGATGTGATCTGTACAGTTTCAACACTAGTACATACTTTCCACCCACCTTTAATTCTATGATCAACATTTTTCCGCCTAGACCTTTTCCTCTTCACAAACATAAGGAAATTGATTAAATCATAACTATCGCTAAATTGTAGACTAGACATAGGTTCTATATCAAGTCTCCAGACTTCAAGAGGTAAATCGTACGACCTGAGTATTCCTTGCAGATTAACATACATTTACTGCACCTTGAAACAAGTACACTGCACTTTTATTAGCACTAAACGTCGGTCTGCCCTTTCCTACAAAGTTTTCGTTTGGAAAATGGCTGATTTATTATTAACATCTCCTTCACGGAACCTGTTAGATATCACTGCATGAATATGTTTGCCATATATGTTATTAGTAAAAGTAAAAGTTACGGACCTTCTAGATTAATTCATCGGATTAATCAATGCCAAAGTCCAAGCTGCAGAACGCTTTGCATGGCTCAAGGCACAAAGTCGAGTTGCTCCCTGGGTAGAATATTAGCACTTCCTACAAATGGACAAGTGGCACACCAATACTGCTACTTATTCCTTTCGGATTCGGTAATTAGAGATATTTGTATTCCTACGTCTAGCTTATACATTTTCTAATAAGTATGACCTGTAACATTTAACAGTTCCACACTTTCGAGCCCTGGAAAATCATCGACATAGTCATCGACATAGTCGACAACAGGTGGAGAACTACACACAACACAGAGAAAATGTGAAATCGAAATAGCTTACAAACAAAACTCCCTGTTTACATATCACACTGTTAAAAACGACACAGATTAAAAAATAACCTAGTCATTGCACAGAGTGTAGAAACTAACTGACCACGTGAGTATGGTATTTGAATGTATTACTACAAGGCAAGCACGACATAAAAGTCATTTCGAACAATTCGTCGTGTACATACATTTGAACGCGTACCAGCGTGTATCTACTATGTTTTACGAAAACCGGCAAGCATAGGAAAGATAACATTTCTAAATACAAGGCAATTCGTACGCGCCTAACAAGGGTTCCAAGAACTTGCATGTTATCCTAGACAGACCTCTGTGTTTCTATACCCATCTAGAGTAGCAGTACTTGAGAACTATTCAGGGTGCGATAGGTATATGAACATGGATAGGACTAGCACATCCTCGATGTCTACTGACTAGAACAGAATCCTGCTCATTCCACAAAACAGATGTATAAAAATTAACAATGATGCGTACAAGATACTTTGCAATCCTTATTCTGTTATTTTACTCTTGGCTAAACATAAAATAAAATCTAAAACATACCATTATCCTCGAGAGTCAACACGATTGTAAAAGCATTGCGAGTACATTGAAACAACATCGCGAACTTCAGTACGTGGAACAGTGTCAACCTGACACTTTGTATCCTCCATGTGTAGTTTACCACGTATCTATCCAGTTGACTTCTACCAGAAACTCAAATTCAACAGAGATAATCTTCAACAGTACATATAGCACATCATCAGGTGCCAAGAAATCTGTATATTACGAAATATATTGTACAACTGATGACTTTCCTTTACGCTTTACACTTCAGGAAACACATATTGACATACTGTGATGTGTATTTTGTACTTTCCTGTAATGTGACTCCTGCATAAAGTACTCAGTTGGTCATAGTGACTCAGTCGGCAGATCCAAAGACTACGAGCCAAAAACCAAAGAACGAAAAAGGCTTGAGAGTTGTATTGGTGCGAGATTCGAAGTTTATGCAACAGGGAAAAGGCCTCTATCATACCTACCTATTGAAGTAATGTTCGATATACTACTAACCGACAGGACGGGTACCATCCTAGAGAAAGTGGAAGTTACAGCTGGATAAATACAGGTTGGATGCATTCGTATATACAAGGATCACGCAGTAACTGTCCTCTACGCAAATCACTTCAACAGAATCAGGAATTCATGCGACTCCATGTACCCCGTAAACGACGCCGATGGTGGCGGAAATCTATTGGAAGCTTACTGATTATAAGGCTTGACAAATCAATAGATAGAACTTATATTGTTAGCAAAACTCCATCTGACATGTTGCCGACGTTAAAAACCATCATTGACACATAAAAACACGCAAACTAACTCTATCTTTGTTTGACATTAAATAATGTCCACCCTATAAGATACTCATTCCCTAATCTCTAACAACAGTGCAGAATAACCACGGTGGTTGATTGTCCTAGTATACATAGAAGCACACCATCTAAGACAACTAAAAGAAGCATGAATATAACATGCATGAAGCTGTCACTAAAAGCTGTAACTAGAGGAAAATTTTACATAACTTTCAAAACGAAAAATCACTTGGAAACAGCTGTATGCGCTATCCATAAACCCTTCGACTTAATTTATTGTTGTGTGTTCAGCATAAGAAAAGGCCTCTACTCATGTACTTGAGATCATCTGACTTGATCATGTACGACATTGACATGTTTTGAGTTGCAAAGACATCGTGAATGGTTTGTATCTTGCTGTAGAAAGTCACTGCGTCGTTTCCCCATTTGAATGACAACGTCTACCGACAAGGAAATAACAACAAACGAAGACTCAAAACCACCAAAAGCTGTCGAATCAAAGATTCATAGGTCATATTGATTTGATTAATGTTCACTAGACACATGAACGAGTTATTTGTGGTCAGTGAGACAGTCCGATACAACTTATCGCCAAATATTAACAAAACCTTTATACGACATCTGTTCAAAAGATAATCCCTAGTACACACTCCCAACAACTTCTTCAAATATAATCATCCAAGATTTACGCATGAACTATGATGATGTTAAACTTCGCATATCTCCAAAAGAGAACTACGAAATCAAGACTTAACGTAACTGTTAAAAAGATATCTCACCTTGGATAAACACAAACTTCCCGCATAATTTAGATGCTAAATGCAGCAAAGCAAAGCAAAGCAAGAGTCGAACAATAGGAGCTTGGGGCGATGGACGACGATGTGTTACAACACCATACTTTTGAGAGTGCTAACCGAACAAGCTCACATACCTATGAGGTCCTCCCGTGATATTAGAAGCAGGAGCTCTAATATCTAATGATGTCCATAAGGATGAAACAGGAGATTGCACCGGTTGAGATTTCAATCTGATTAGCGAGTTAGCCATCAGTTTCCCGAAACAGGGGTTTTCAAACTATACTATTATAAAAGTATTTATACTACATACACAGGACGAACAAGTCTTCTTGTCCGGCAATTAAAATGGCAGAAATATTAGCTTACTACGCCTACCAACCCAAGGGACATACTGTCGACTGATAGGATGACCTAAGTTCTTTGTGTACAGCTATGAGGAAGAAAGGCAACAAAACAACTCACTCTGCTCCTACGCCGCAGATTCATGGGAGGGATCGCCACGGTGAAAACTACTGTAATATTTTTCTGGGTAGTATCCTGAACAGATAGCAGGATAATAACCACAACATAATGCCTATGTACTACAAGAATGAGATTTTCTAACTTTCCCACGCATATTTACATTCAAGAACAATTCGTACAAAATTTCTTGCCGCTATTGGGAGAGTGAACCTCGAGAACGAAAGTTGCAATTTCTTATATCCGACGATGAAGCGTTATATGTGGTGCGTCGGAAGATTCTTGGGCTCAGACCATCGAGTCAGGATACGCCGGATTGACGACAGGAACACCAGAAATCCAGAACTTTCATGTAGCTTACGTCGCATCTCGAGATATACAAGTTTTCTTAGACTCAGAAACGTCCTTTGGTGCAGGGAAGAACGACTCTCGAAAGGGCTCGTGATGGAGAAGCTGAAAAACAAACTCCTGCGAGGAGAGGCCAAAGGGCCCGGAGGACATCATTACAAAGTGAGAATGAGAGTTACCATCAGCGCCGGGGGAGCTGATGACGTCAAATGCACGGGGCGCGAGCTTGACATCATCGCGAATCCATGATCTGACGACGAGGAGGCATCACACTGGTCCTCATATCCTCTCCAAAGCCATAGTACGATGTCTCTCTTGCCTTCAACTCGCGTAGCTCCTGGCAAATTGCGCATGGAAAGCAGACGAGGTGAGTGAGACTGTCTGGACAAGGCCGACTGGGAAGATTGTACATGTTCCTGAGCTTCCTTCTGTATGTGCAGGAGTACAGACACCCACAAGACGTCAATCCTTGAAGAACCGCCCAAACCAGCGAAGCTGCCAAGCAGTGTGTTCTTCCGTCATCCAGCTTCTCGATGACCATTCCCGCCCCTATGCAAGGGCAAAACATCGTCAGCAGACATATTGGTGGATCCGCCAAACACCCACAGAAATCCGCCACCCATTCTCCTTCCTCCTCCTCCTCTTCGCGATTAACTAATCGTGGATACGAATCATCTCTTCGAGACATTCTCGCTGCACTCGCCCGACAACAGCTCCGCTCCAAACTCCCTCCCGTCTCTCGCTGGAGGTGTGAGTCAAAATTCAGCAATCCGCACAAATCCGATGATCAATCGAAGAACTCTCGAGACGACTGCGCAATGGGTGCCGAAATGAGTCCGCAGAAGGAGCGACGCCGACGATCTTTTGCTTCGGGAGGGCGATGACGACGCAGAGACTTGAAAGCGAAGCCACGAATGGCCGCGCGAGCGGGCGAGCGAGTACGGGAGAGGCAGACCCGACCGATCGGCAAAGGTGGAAGGAAACGTGGGCCGGACTGTTTGCCGAAGATTCGTCCGCAACACTTCGCCGCCAAGCAAACACTCTCTCGACACGGTGTGCCACTTCGGCATTCCCCCCCTTCTTCTTCGAGGCACATTCCGACCGTGTCCCGCTCTTCGTACCCCTCGCTCCCTTCCAACGGTCCCCTCCCTGTTCCTCTTCCGTCCTGTCCTGGCCTTCGAATATTCGTTCGAATCGACCACTTTTCTTTCGGCCGTCCGACGAATATAATTTCTTGTTCCGATTCTGAACGAATGAACGAACTGTTAACTATAACAGATTAAAGAGCAATTAATGTTTTATATATATATATATATATATATCTCTTTTCCTACTCTCCACTTAAACTTTCTCATGCCACCAATTTTATTCACACAATGCAACCATCTTTCTTTCTATCGAAGGTTTAATCATGGGCCGCCATAACAAATCAGAGTAACGTCCTTAAAATGACGCAGAATGTACCGAGATGAGTGATGATACTACAATCAAAGGAGAGTACCAAGTAATATGGCAAGGAAGTATGATAAGAATGTCTTCAAGAAGAATTTAATGATGAGACCAAAGTGATAGTATACTCACCACCACCGTGTATTTTATAATGTGGAAAAATGTGATAAGCCAATACAATACTATGTTATGATTTATATAATAAGATCCCTAGTGAGGTTGGTGTGCGCATGCAATACTGTGCCATAGTCTATGTAGGGCATTACTAGTTAGATAGATGTCTGAAGGCAACAGTAGAGATATCATTTTGAGTTAAAGTTGCAGCTAGGGCAATTTGCATTGGAAACCTTGGAAGCTATATGATGTATATGGGGTCATAGATCACACATCTCCTTGGATTGTACGATTTAGTACGGTGTATAGTAACTTGGGACATCCATGAAATGATCAAGAGAATCTTCCTACATGAAGCTTTGGCATTTTCAGTGTCAAGTGGCGAAATCAAGTTTGTCGAGAGCTCGGAGTTAGAATCATTATTTGATTGAGTACTTGTGTTGCGTCTCTTCCATCCCCTAAATTGTGCTCTAACGGATGGAGTATGAGGGGTTGGATCAATTTGGAGAGAGGGGAACATATCCTAAAATCATCATAAATGAAAAAGTAAGTAAATTGAAGGTGCAACCATTAGCCATCAGATGTACGCTATGTGAACGTGTTGGAGCATCTTTCATGTCAATACACCGCAGTAACTTCGCGAAGTAGCTTGATTATTTTTGGAGTTTGGGCATTGTTAAACTTCTAGTATACAACCTAAACATCATGATTTGTAAAAGTTCATGAAGAGGCATTGTTTACGTGGATTGAGCTGGTGGCACTGCCCAAGAACTCAAATGAGTAACAATGAGATTTCAGCTTTCGGTTTCCAAGCAACGATGTTCACTAATCATGATCTTGAATTTTCAATAGGTTTTTTCCGTTTGTTTGATCAATTGTTGTATCATCTTCAAAAATCATTGTGAGGCTGATGGATTTGGTAAGAAAGTTATTCAGATGTTGAAGAAATTACCAAATATTTTTTTCCTTGAAAATATTAGCTGGAAGTTTCAGACCTTTATATTTGTATGACTTCTCATTAGATATTTATTTTGTTGGCAATCATCTACTTTTGACAAGTCTCATAGATAAATGCCCTGCCACCAATAAGATAGAAAATTGTGTACCATGTTTTGTTGAAATACACACATATATATATTATGTAATATATAAATATGTGTATTTGTTCTATTTTGAAAGAAGCTAATCAGTTTTTAAGAATTGTATCATGAGTAAAATAATCATAGTGTCTGTAACGACGATCTAATCATCCAAACATTTATTTGTTTGTTTTTTTTTAATTAATCCATTAAAATACATACCAACCTGATCTACAGTCACGACACATTGTAACACGACATACTCATACTCATCGTGAATAGTTACATCCACCATTCTGAATGACAACTAAGTCTAGAGGCCCTTTGTTCAAGTCTGAAATAATATCACAATCACTCCTCACTAGCATAAAATTTTATTTAACAGTGCAAAGCAATACGAAACTCATTGATGTAAAATAAATTTGCTAGGGAACAAAATTTAATATGGTCCAAGAAATATTTACAAGCTTGCATTTTTGTAAATTGTATGAAAAAAATAAAAAAAAACTGAACCAGATCCACTCAAAGTGTATGCAAGGATTACTCAAACTTAAAGTTGTATTAAAATTTTATATTCATCTACTGTACATACTATTCACTATGACCGTTACCCGTGTATATTATAACACTAACCTGAGTAGCGATCTAGATTACTAGTTTCTGATATTACAATTTTATATTTTATCACTCTGAGTTAAATAACACAATTGTTGAACAACCTTGTATGAGAAGGGCGTGATTCTTCAACCAGTGAGTATAATTCAGTAGTGCAGATAGATTGTGGAAGAGAGCCTAGTGTAGGGCACTGACTCAGAATATCACAGTGGCTTTTCTCCAGACAAACAGTCCTATGGAATGAGTTGACTCTCGACACATTTATACAATACTTGATGTAAAATCACAGAAAGCAGCGGAAAGGTAGTTTGTCATCGAAACAAGATTATTACTTTTTTCTCACACTTGAGTTTTTTCTCGCATTATCCCAAAACTCCTCAAAGATTGAAATTATTGTTGTTTACCACACTCATGACAACAAAAAGAGAGACTCGCTCTCATAGAGGATTCACAATTCGAACATCATGGGTCGTGGAAGGAGGTCCATCGAGTTGGTAGGCGACCATGCTGTGCTCTGCTTTTCTGCTCGCCCTGCTTGTATCGTTGATCAGGATCTCAGACCTTCGACAACTGATTTGACAATATCATGAACTGATACCCTCGGAATCTCTGTACACGTCTTTGCCGTGGGCACTGTGGATACTTTTAAAGTGAATCCAATACAATCCTTTGCGTCCTAAGATCTGCAGCTGTGTTTGTGCAAACCAACATTGCTTCCAAACCTGATTCCAACAAAGGAGATATCTCGTAGTTCACACTCTATAACAAAATAGGCTTCGCATCTTTGAACTCAGTTGTTGGGTGATGATAAACTCTACGGAGAAAAGTGACAGAAACCTGACATGCATATACATGAAAGGAATACACATAGGTTAGATCAAAGTTGTCAAAATTTGCGTCTGGTTTGCAAAGCCCGAGCAGTCTAATGGCAGCAAAGTATACAGCTCTCGGAGACGTGTTTTGCTTCATTCGTTCCGAACTTGATCAATAGAAACATGGCAGAGAGAAGCGCAGGAGCAAATATTGATGTTCGGAAGATCAAGGCAGATGTTCAGGTCAGTCCAAGCCACGCAGCAAGAATAGAGTGATAAAACTATTTGTATCTTCTCCTTCTCGTTCGTAACCTTTCGATCCTTGATTCAACTATTCGTTAAAGACTTGATGGCTTCTTCCGCGTACGTGGTTATTACCAAAAACAACTCAGCTGAGAAAGCCACCCTGGCCAGTACTGGTCCCGTCTACTCCGAAGCGGCTCGCATGTTTTCCAATCCCAGGCGTGCAGTCCCTGTTTAGATAGAGCCTCTACCTCTTCTTTGACTCTCGATGGTTTCACATTCTCTGATATCAAGTATGTGAAATCACCACCTGGCTGGCAATTGTTCTATACTCACTTGATATTCATCCTGCACATTACAACTGCAAAAGTTTGTCTACCTGCCCTTGTATAATGACTCTGGGCACCAGTATGAAAGCTTACTCCCGAGGGGTAGCTTTTCGCTGTTTGATCTTGCCATCTTTCTCATCAGTTCGCTTTTCGTCTAAAATTATCCCCTCAGACTTTGTCTCGTAGGAATTCTCTTTCTTAACTTCATCTTCAGAGGCAAAATCCTGTGTGGCAAACTTCGTTACTTTCCACGTAATGATCAGACCTGAGCACATGCCTACGACAGGAAGCACGTAAGAAGAAAGACTTCTGTTCGACCCATCGATCGTGGCGCTAGTGAGAGTTCCAAAAGAAGTATTTTGAAGTATCATTGGGAGACCACCAACAAGAGTTGGTAGCAGAAAGTCCACAAAGAAACGGACGTCTGTAGCTGCTAGTCCATAGTTTATGACGTAGGATGGTACAGGAGAAAAACGAGCTAAAAGCACAAACTTCCAACCATCCTTCGCAACTCCCTTGTTCAATGTACTGAAAAACCTATTATTCCGCACCAAATCTGTTGCTCCTGGTGAACACTGAAACAAAGCCCTGCAAAATTGCGCACCAAATATCAGCCCTCCTCTGTGGACCAAGGTGGAGTTACCAGGAATGCGAAACAGAAACTATGCAATCAAACGACAAAAATTTTCATCGTAGCATTTGTCAGCCACTCAGAAGATAACCTTCTATTAGTGCACATGTTAGGTTTTGAAACGAGAATATCGAACAGAAAACGGTTACAAATTGCGTGATACAAGCAAAATGGTCGTTCGCAGCTGCCATTTGTGACAGCCGTGACTGTTTGAAGAAAGAGGGAGAGGGGACGAAGGTCGAAGGAAAACCGTCAGCTTGTCCCGTTTTCAAGAACGAATTGCCGCACTAATGCCGCACTAATTGTTCGAAACAATTTAGAAATACAGCCGGTATCCTTTTTTCCGCAAATCACTAGTGCAACGCTATGCAAAGTATTACAGCTTGACGACCGGTGGTATGCCCACGCGACTCAATGTTCTGACATATCGATCCTTAAGATCGTTTCGTTTCTCTCTTCTTAAGACTTCAGATCGGGCGGGGTGAGCCAGATCTCTATCTTTCATTGACAATTTGAACTACCATAAAACCTGATAAACTGCTTTTGCTCCGAGCAAATAATACAACGGGGAAGGAAACCTATTATTCCCTACACATTCAAATGTCCGTGCGCATACCAAAGGGAAAGCAGAAGGAGAATTAAGCATTGTACTCATATAAAAGAAGGTGAAGGGGTAGATGAGCGACCTTCCGACCCAAAACGCAAGCGCTGCGCCTAAAACCTTCGCAGAGAAGACGCAGATAACACCATTGACGAATCCAAAAAGAAAAGCAGCAAATGCTTCGAAAAACACAGCATACGGAAAGCACATGGCTATGGCAAGAGTATGGACTGCCACAAACACAGGCATCGCCCAAATGCCCAATCTTTTGGACAAGTCATTGAATATCTCCAGCAGAGCGTTCCGATCGATCTTGTATGTATACAACGTATAATACAAAGCTCCGGACCCCCCGATGAGGCACATCAGCGCCAATTGCACTAATTTCCCCATCGCCTTCCACAATTCTTCCCGAGCCGCAACTAATTCCGAACAACAATCTCTCTCTCTCTCTCTCTCTCTCTCTCAATCAATCGGATTCTCCTCGGATTCGGTCTAATCGATCGACGTGATGCGATCCAATTAGAATGGCCTAGCACAACAACAAGAGGCCCGACGGGGCTCGCGGCAGAAGGCACGACAACAACAAACGCAAACGAATTTCGTGACGACGACAATGCATCGCCTGCCTGTCACCTTCTTCAAGAATTTCGCTTCCACGTGGCATTCTCCGGCCCTGACGTGACGTGGACATTCCTGCGCTGACTTTTGTTTCCTTCCTCTGCAAACACGTCGTGTGCCGGAATTTATGCTCCCTTTGGGGCCATGTTCTTCTGCCGACTTGTAGAATGGTGACTTTCTTCCATATTGTGCAATTCATCTCTTCCAAATAGACGACCTATCGTCCTGTCGACTACTTACCTCCAATGAACTTTTTGTATTTGCTGCTTGTTTTATTCAGTTTATCAGATGTTGGAAAATTGATTCTCTTTCATATCAAAATGAATCTTCGAATATATCTTATAACCTTGCATGTAATCTGCATACAATAATTTGCATCATTTGTTACTTTCATTCTCTTTTTTATAATGTCTTTATTTTTTCTTTTTTTCTAATCAGATATAAACTTTCTATATTATTCAATAGAATGAAATAATATTATCTTATCTCCAGTGAAAATAAAATAAAATGATGTGGTCATCTCATATTTTTTGTTTTGAAAAAATCTTTTCCATATATAAAATTTCTAAGATAAATTTTATTTAGATAAAACGTAAGATCTTGTGACATTGGACATCAAGATATAACATGTTCAGGCTTTTATACATTAGGCATTCTAAAAAAAATATTACTATATCTAATTTCAAATCTCTTGAATCTTGAATTTCAAAATTATTTCTCAAGTAGTTTTGGAACAAAAAATTTCCAAATGGTTGGAACAGCAAAATGTTCAAATGCGGTGCTGAATTGCATGACACCTTTCAATTTATCCCATCAACAAGAATATGGTTTTCAGATTTCAAAACTAGATACTGTCACAAGACGGATCATTGTAGTTGCATGCAAATTTTGTATCGCATTTGGTCGCAAGAGCAAAATTGGTGCAAAACGTCAAAAAACGATCACGAAAAAGACGTTTGGTCTAGTGTTTTGTATTAAAAACTACCTCATTCATCTCAAAAGCAAGCACCCAATTCGTTGGAAAGAGTATCAATCATTCTTTAAAGAAAGTAAACTGATTTACTTTGACATTGAGGTACCCTTTGTGAACACAATCTTGTCACATTTGAACTGAGATACCGACCATATAACCTACACCATTGACAAAGGCATAGTTGAGTTCATCATTGGAGAAATATTATGGGATCTTGAAGATTATGAAGACCAAACCTATGAGAACGCAATGCACGCATTCACGCTAGATACTCACACGGATAATTATTCAATAACTATCAAAACCCAAATGGCATACCAACTTGCAATTAATTACATTGACATTGGTATTAGTCTTAGTCACAATGCGTTGGTGCTTCATGCAACAAACTAAGTTGTCATGGTCTCTAAGCTAGCTAGGATGAATGATTTGAAAATTGCTACATTCGTACGTGTTCAATGCGGTGTCAATTTTTAGATCATTTTTAATATCTTATGCATTGGGTGTTCTCAATAACGCTAGATGACTCAACTTGCATGGATACTTCATTTAAAGATGTTCGTACTCGTTTTGTTTGGCGATACCAGCTTTATAATTTGCATCTTATATCAATTTCGTTTGACGGATCTCATATTGATTTGTCACAGTTTATATTTTATGCAAATTATTTGATATACTCTCTTACAGCTATAAAAATCAATTGATTGATGCATCGTCAGACGGAGCTCGAAACATAACAAGTAATATTGTCGATGTTATCACGCGTCTAAAACAATGTTCACTTGAGGGTTTAATTTGTATGTGATGTATTCTCCATCAATTGGACATTCCGCTACAAGAGTTATACTCGAAGGTGGATAGGAGTGCATGGTATGCAACACTAGTATCTATGAACTCGCACCTGCGTTGAGAGCAATCGCTTATTTCCAAGATGAAATCAACTTGTCCCAAGACATCTACGACTAAATGACATGCCATGTTAAGTACCACAAGCTAGTTTGATGATCATTGTCACGAAATCAATGCCCATTATTTTGAAATTTCAATGAGCTATTCTCGGCATGCATCCCAACCTAAAAGTGATATCTAATGAGTTCTAAATGTTATCACGAGTGCTACACATACGACGGTGATGCGATTTCAATGTCACCGATTGACGCTTAGCCAACAACAAACCCATGTTCAACTACTAAGTGATAAATTATTGCTCAAAATTAGTACAATTCGCAATTCCAACTTTGAAAATGTGGACAAATCCACTTATGTCATCCATAACAATTGGTTTGCTTCCTATATTGACATCATTGTCTTCATTAATGATCTTCGGAATTTTGCTTTGATTACAATCAACAATCTTAGTGAATCAATATGGCAAGTACTTCTTTGGAACGTTGTGTTCCTTATATTTGACATTGTCGATGGATTTATGTATTGTGTAGCATTGCGAGATGAACGCGACTTAAGCAGGGATGTAGATTGTTCATCTGTGTAATCTTTTGAATTAATGAAACTTAAAGATCTTGATATCAGCCGCCATATCATCGAACAGAATTCTTGACTGTAGTTGGTCTGCCTCTAAAATTGACAAAATTGGGTCCCAATTTGCAGAGATTTATATCATGTACAAAACTGTCTCGGCTTCTAAGAAAGTCATAGATTACTGTGATCATCAATGCTCGTTTGACAATGCGTGATCACTACCATGTTTAAAAGGTCGTTTCAATTTTCTAGTTGATTTCATAAATGTATTGGGTTCACTATTTCCAGAAACAACGCTTCTCAAGAGTGACTTCTCAATTTTGAAATTTAGGAAATACGTTTTAACATATCACATACTGATTTTTCTCTAGAAGAAATTCTCCAAGATAAACAATATGATCTCTTGCGCACCTTGAAGCAATAAAACAAGAAGATTATGTTTTTTGCAAATAAAACAAGTAATCTTTGAACTCGGTCGAAGGTTACTTCAATTTGCTACATGTGCGTTTGAAATTTTGGAAAAAAGTTCTATAACTGACTTAAATTTAACGAAACCGGAAGTAAGTAGAATCGACTCAAATTGAACCGAATCTGGTTTCGTATTGGGAAAAAGCAAAATCAAAATCTGGAAGCAACTCAATAAATTTGATCCGCTCCCAAATTATTTGGATCGATTTCTTCAAATTGATTCGGTACGTATCTTATGCATCTGTCAAATCTCATGACTCTATGTTTGGTTCTGCTTGTAATTTACAAAAATACCAATCCTTATACACTCAATGCCAATATCATATGTCGTGCAATGGACGTGAAGATGACTCGCTTTCATAAAAAGAAGCAACTCTCACAATTCCAATCACTCGATTGCAAACACCTTTTAGTGCTAAAGACATTCTTTTTTAAAGAATTGCTGCTTCAAACACATGCAAAAATCATTCGCGTGGTTGTACGTAACTTTGTCAATCTACTACATATTATGTTAGTTCATAGAGACCGAAAGAGAGAGAATCATTCAGATTGTGGGAACTATACACTGACATGATACATATCAAAAGAGTTAAAGTAATGGATTGAGTTGAGACCGCAAACTTGGAATTTAGGAAAATCGGAAATAGATTCACTTGGCCCTTATGCTATCAAGAACATGGGATTGAGAGAAATTTACTTAGATATGAAATTTCTTATGTCGAGTTATTTTTGTGAGAAGCTCTGGTTGAAATTGATAGAATAAGCTTCGCATAGAATTCTTTTTCCTGGAAGATCTTGCTTAAATTGAGTCATTTCTTCGTAAAATTTAATTGAATTCGATAGAATATTTGTCTTGGATTTTATGTAAGCAATGATGCCTAATCGTGTCTACTTTCATTAAGAATTTGTGGCTAATTTGCTTCGATTAGGCATAGATAGGCATATGCCTAATCTACGGAAGTCTGAACATGGTTCATCACAAAAGCACTTCGTCCAAAGGAAAATGCATGGTGTGTACTGGATGTTGTTTTGATAATACACAGAAGTTAGGTACATATACCCAACACCGTCTATCAACAAGGTTGATAGCTTGCTATATATAACTAGACCCTTAGATTACTACTTAACCAAAGTTAATTTCAACAAAAAACTCAAATATTTATTAATTATAATTACCGTAACTATGGATAGTTTATAAGTATCATACAAAAGAAACTCTCTTTAGGTTAGTGTAGCAACCATGAAATATAATGTACATCATCTCACTAAACTGAAAAAAAGTATATTTTGTGCTTCTAGGTCCACATCTAAGTATGTGGATCTAGAAGCAAAATAATGTCTATTGTGACACATTTGTGATAATAATAAAGAGATATTGCTGACAATCTCTAGACGTCATTACTTATCAACACAATCCAATCTGAAAAAGTCAATAATTCAAATTGATGTGTATGTTGTTAATAATAAGTTTCATTGATAGCCAAGTCTTTTATTGTCATAATTTTCATCCAATTCCAAGTTTTTGACAAGGAAAAAACTACATGAATTTCACATGTGAATTTAGTTTCAAGTTGAAATTATTATCTTTAAAGTCTCTTGGTATGTCAAAAATGCCATCATCTCAATATCCAACAATCAAAGCTTTTTTTATGTGAATTAGGAAATAAAAGAGTTGCAATTTAGATATTTTTGAAATTAATCAAAACTGCATGAAGCTTTTGAAACAACTTTCTAAATATATTTTTTATCTTTGAATTACATTGTAGCATTTTGTGAACAAAATCTAAGTATTCAATAAAATTTGCAAATTTTCATTTTTTTAATCTTATTGTGAATAATAGCTTTGAATATTACTCATTTTTTGCACTAAAACAATTTTTTTTCACAAAATATTTTGACATTTTATTTTCATTTGCCTTGTTGATTCAATTCTATTATCATTTCTTTTGTTGTTGATTCAGTGAAGATACTCTCTCATAAAGTTTTTTGACACTTTATTTTTTGTCTTATTTATTCACATTATTGGAGCTAAATATTAAATTTGTATTGTTAAGGCTTTGGCGTTCATTTCACTTTTCTAG